CAATATGCGTTTTTGCTGCCTGTTGCAGCGCTCTAGCGCTGCACGGCAAAAACGCATAAAAAGCTAAATCGAATCAGAACCTTCTTCACATCTCATTTTCTGCGAGGGGCAGAAGTTTTTTAGCTAGTTATAGCCGTATCAGTGAATGGTATCCGCCAGAAAGTAGGCACCACTTAAACGGCCATCGAAGAGGTGGAACAGCGGCTTCCGAGGGAAAAACGGCGATTACTAACTAGAGCTATGCAGCTCGAGATCAAAAAGCCTGAAATAGCTGCGTTCGACGTGTGGGAGCACGTTCATAATTTACCACAAAACTGAAACGACCAGACCGGGTCTCCGGGTGGTCATTTTAATGTTTTTAGTAACCCCAGTGTCGTGTAAAATTAAGTTAAAAGAGCGGAAAATCTAGTGAATTATTGGAGCGAAATAGAAATTTTTCTAAGCTGAATGATGGAACTAAAGAAAGCACAGTTTCTACGCATTCTCACTCCACCGTATGGTGGGTTGTGAATAAATAAATTTTTCTGGAATTGTACAGAAAAACGAGGATAGTGTGCAACACAATTTGGTATGGTTTATTGAAAAGTCGGTCCTAAAATGAGGTAAATAGAGGGAGCCGAAGAGGGAAAAGGAGTCTCTTATTATTCGAAATTTGGGTCGCTTTTGGATCAATTCAGTTGAATGTCTTGAATGGAATTCTTTTTTTGTCAAGTCAACAATGGTGCTTCTGCTGTTTCGGACTGTTTTGAGATAGAAAAGACACGGTGAATTTTTATCCTAGATCTTTACAAGTTGAACTTTTGGATGATTTTGCTGTTGCAGACAAAGAGCTGAAGTTGAATATTGTATTACGAAAGAAGGGACAGCGGATCGCATAACCGTTTCTCTAAATTTTTACTTCGCGAGAAAGTCGCAATAGCGAAATTTCACATGTCCGTCTGACCAAGAAGTACAGTTCCAGAACTATAAATACTAGGAATCTAAAATTTTTGCAATTAAAAAAAAGGTTTTACTTAATGTCTGTGTTTATAGCTTTGGGATGAAACACAGACAACAATACCTATATTCCTCCTTAGTACATGTCCTCTCCACATGTTTCACACGTATTGCATACACGTTTGCTCCTTCACCATCGCTACTTCCTTCCTTCTGTTTCCTCAATCCCTTCTATTTCATTTGGTTTCAGTTCATTTGATTTGGTT